TTCCTGCTGCCCTGCACCAATAAATGGGTTGCATCTGTGAGTATGGCTTAAGCTAAACCAGTTGACATTTGAAGGCGCTGCTGGGAAGAGAGATGAGTCAGAGGGATGTGGGGCTCTCCTAATTGGACCTGGGAAGCTGTTTGAAGCAAAGAGGCAGCTGAGAACTTGGCCGGAATAGAAACGGGGGCAGAAGCCATTGAAGTGGAAATGCTGGAGGCGCTGGCTGGCCCAGAGAGGAATGGTTCAAGTAAGGCACAGCCTGAGCGAAGGTGTGCTGTGTCTTGAAGGCAAACATGTGAAAGCTCTGTGGCAGGGCTGCAGCTGGGAAATAAGCCCAATCTCTTATTTTTTTCCCCTTTTTTCCCTGAATCATCCTTTTTCTGGCTGGTTCCAGCCCTCCTCGTTCTGTTAGCACGGAGAAACCATGACCTGTCGTGCTTGTTTCCTCAGGCCAAGGCAAAGGCAGCGGCAGTACGTCCGCAGCACGTGGCTGACGGCTCCCAAGAACACTTGGCCACGCTACAGCAAGACAGGTGAGGCTTAGGGTGCCCTCTCCCGAAGCACCACGCTGCCGAGGCACCTCGGTCCCGTGCCCTTTTCAGCACAGGCAGCTGCTCCTGCCAGCCTGACTTTCCTAGAGCCTCCATGCACAGAAACCAGAGCTGCTTTCATCCGCTGCTGGGCCCAGGCTTCACGCTGGCTGCTGCAGAAAAGGAACTACTCATCAGCTGATGGAAATGCCCCCTTTCTCAACAGGGAGAGCTCTGTTGTATTGTGTCTTAGCATTTAGGCTTTTTTCCCCCCATTTGGGTTTTTTTTCCCCCTAATTAGAGGTAGCAGGTGATGAAAACTTCCCTTCTTAACAGCGGTGTTGCTGGATAATGAAGAAATAACTGTGGGAAGAGCAAGCTGCCTGGGCTGCTGGGGTAGATTTCGGACTTTGGCTCCTGAGAGGAGGGAAATAAGTGAAATTCTGTGGGAGTTTCTGAAAACACGTCTGGCTTTTGGACATGATGATGTGGATGAGCTTTCAGTATGATATTAAAGCAGAAGAGCTTAGTACCCACTCTCATGTGCACTCTTTAGGTATTGCCATGCAGCTGGTGGACACCAGGAGGGGAGTGCAGTACTTCACCTTCGAGCACCATCGCGAGTACCAGCAAGTGCAGTTCAAGTTCCTGGATGCCGTGGAGTCCATGGACCCCAACAACATCGTGGTACGTTGGGAAATGGGGTTGCCTGTGCTGTTACCACCTGCGTTGCTGCAGCCCCTTTCCCTGCCAGGGGAGCTGTGCTGATGCATCCCAGGGTTTTGTTTTTTTGCCAGTCTCATTTCGAGCCCCATAACCCCATGTCCTCTCTGTGCAGGGCAAGGTAGCATTGCTTCCTGAGCCCTGCTTTCACCTTATTGATAAGTGACCATCTCGCTGCAAATAATGGCCAGGGACTGTTGGCCGAGCCTCTGTGTCTCTCCTAGGGACATGCCAGGTTGCCATCTGGGAGATGGGCCTGCAGGAACCGACCGTTTGGCTGGAAAGATGGGAATAAAGCTCCCTTGTCTGGGCCTTTTAGCTGGGAAAGGGAAAACATTGTATAAACTGATCTGTAAATGGGGTTCTAAACTAACAGCTGTTCTATTTATAATCTCCTGTATGGATGAAAAATGTGTCTTTTCTCGGTGTTTCAGCAAAGCGGTCTTTGTGCTGAGAGTTCTTCATGCGTGTCCAAGCTCATTAAGCTGTATGGTAACATTTATAGTTCGTAGCGATAAGCAGCAGTAAAATTGCTCTGCACCCTACTGAACCATAACCGAGGTATTTTTGCTCTGAAAACCCTGGCCACATGAGCTGGGCTGCATGCCCTGGGGAAGTTTCTTACAGAGGCCATTTTTTCACTAAATCAAGTTTACTTCTTTCTGCTTTCATGCTCCTTACTCATGACCACTGCTCTCTCCAGCTCATCACCGCTGCCTGGGCTGTGAGATTCACTTTAAATGATGCCAGGTAGTTTCTGTGAGGCAATGACCAACTCCTCGGACAGCTCAAATATGGTCTCACATTTTAGTCTTTATACTCTGTCCTTGTTAAGCAGAAGATATTCCCACAGCTTTAGTCTTTCAGTTTTCTTTTGAGGCTAAAACCTCACAGGCAAGGCTTTGCCGACACCAAAAACACTTCAAACCCCGCACTGGTTTATCTCTGACAGCCGCAGTTTCATGTGGCTGGAGCCCAACTCTGCCTTGCTGCTGTGGTTTCAGCCTGCAAAACGTGATTTTTTGGAGGCTTCTACTCAGTGGTTTTCTGCTCTTGCCAGTGGGTTAAAAGGGGTTTGTTGGTGTAGTTGTAAGTGCACGAAGAGCCCTTTTTCCTCTCACAATGGTTGTAGATGCTCCATCTCTCCCAGAAAGGACTAGAAAGGAGCTTAATAGCAAGCGAGGAAAGGGTAAAACACCAGGCAGGTGGCACTGGGACAGCCCAGGACATAAAAGCTTTGTGGTGGTCACGCTGGTCACCACCCTGCACATGTACAATTTCTGGAACTTTTGAAGTTGTATTTTTCAGTTCTGGGGGAAAAAAGATCCCCAGACTAAACTGTGAGATCTGAAGTAGCTTCAGTATTTTCATACTGAAACAATTTTAGCTACTTGAAGAAGTAGCCCATTTATAATTAGTGGATGCAGAGGTTTTCCTGTTCTGAAACTTGGAAAAAACCTATTTTTAATCCATTACCATGCAGGAGCTGGGTCCTGGAGTTGTAATAGATGTGTGAAAATGTCCTCTTGGTACCCAGAGCAAGCAAAAGCCTGACCAAAAGTTAAGGGATAGAGAATAAAACAAAGCCATCATTGTGCATGCTGCCTGCACCTCAAATATCATGTGCAGTTCTGGGTCCTTGCCTTCAAAAGGGCACAGTGGAGCTGGGAATGATTTGGAGGAGGAGAGCAATGATGCTCAAATGCCTGGCATGGCCTGGCCTTGGCTCTCTGTTGGTTTGGGGTGGGATTTCTTCACCTTCACCCCCAGGGGCAAGAACAGAACTCTTTATGGTGTGGTTTCAGGGCGTTTGCTCCCTGCTTACAGCAGTAACCAAGCTCATGCTCTTCTGCAGCTGCTGCTCCAGATGAACCCATACCACGTGGACTCCTTGCTGCAGCTCAGCGACGTGTGCCGGATGCAGGAGGACCAGGAGATGGCCCGGGACCTCATAGGTAAGAGCTGAGGTGAGAAGCAGATGTCCTGGTGTGGGTCGCTTATCAGAGGCTTTTGGTCCAGGGTTGGTTTTGTTTCCAGCAGCAAACCAGAAGAGTTGGTTTGGGTCCATGCCACGAGTGCTCAGCCTTGTATGATCCTGCACACCAGCAGCATTTGCTGGAGGCTTTTAAACAGAGCTGGACATGCTTGTTTGGGAGAAAACACATCAGCGTTCACCTTCAAAATTAAGAGAGGGGTTTTCTGGACATGGAGGGGTCCCACCTGCAGGATGTCCCTTGCAGGAGGTGGCTTTGATTTAGTAGCTATGAGATAGAGCAGTGCAAGGGAGGCTTCAGGAAGCCCCCCCACTCTGCAGTGACCCTGCCTGACCCCCCAGGCCAGCCTGCCTTGCCTTCCTCTGACCCACACATTCAGCCCACACACTGGGCTGTGCTCCTCAGGACAGAACAGGCTGCATGGGGACCAGAGGCATCCTGCAGGACTGCTACCCCTCGGGTGTCAGATGTGCTGCTTGGTAACCAGGACATGTGCTCTCCAGCATGATTGGAGGAGCCAGAGGTGAAGTGAGGACAGGATCTTTGGCTTCCCCATGTGAGGGCGGCTGTGGCAGAGGCAGCCATGGCAGCCCCGATCCCAGACCTCCTCCAGAAGTTCCTTTCCACAGCCAGAGCCTGCTGTAACGCCTGCAGACGGGAACAGGGCTCGCTTGCCTGGATATCTGCTACAACCACGTGCCCTGAAGTAGCTTTGAGCCTTGCTTAAGTGTGAAAAAGCTTATTTCATGGGTGCCAAACTCTCAATTATCAGTGTCATCTGGGCTAAATCAGCTGCTGTTTGGTGGGTTGGGGCAGTGGCATGCCCTGACGCTGTCCTTGCTGTCTGCAGAGCGGGCGCTGTACAGCCTGGAGTGTGCCTTCCACCCCGTCTTCAGCCTCACCAGCGGGACCTGCAGGCTGGATTACCGGCGGCCAGAGAACAGGTAGGCAGCATGCCCCGCATCTACTGGTGTGCCCTGGCCTACTTTGGACGCCGAGACCCAGATTCACCACGTCTGCTGTGTCATCTGTGGTGGCAGGGGGACCTTGAGTGTCCCTTTCTGTCCAAACAGGCTGTGCCCCATTGCAAGGCAGCAGTTGGGGTGCTGGGCTGCAGGCAGCTCTTGCAATCAGCTTCCTTTGCAAAGCATCCTCTTCCCTGAGCAGCTTCTCTGTTAACTGTTCCTCCCCGTGACATCTTTCTCATGCAATTGGTACCCCTTAGCCATGCACTTATTTTTGTCACAAAAATACTCCCTGTGTGTTTACATCTGTGCTTGGTCGCTGCCTGTGCCTGACTTTGTCCCCAGCACTCGTGCTGCTCCCAGCCTGGCTCTTTATGTAATGACAGCGCTGCAGCTGCGGGGAAAGGTGACTCTATTCTGGGAATTTTCCACTCGGCTGACCCGAGTCGTCTCTCCCAAACTGCTGTACCTGGAGCTGGCTCAGATTTCCAGTACCCGCTTCGTGCTGTCTGTGACCTGAACGCTGCCATCTGTGACACCAATTTGGGTGTTGGTCCTGCCCCTGTATGCACTGTGCATGCTCTGTGCCACTGTCCCACACATCTGGGTGGACTGGGACGAAGCACAATGCAGACCCTGTGGATTTACGTGTTTCTCTTGTCTGGAGTTGTCTGCGAGAGCGCAAGGCTGTGGGGCCTTGGGGAGCAGGGTATGGGTTTGCTATCCCTATACTTGCACAAAGATATTTAAATATAGGAGATGGGAATGTAGGGGGCTGTGTCACCCCATGCTGCTCCAAGCTGGGTTCCCTGGACCCCCTGGCTGCACTGCGGTGCTGATGCTTGGAGGGCGAGGAGCTGGGGCTGACCATGGGTCCCCGTTCTTGAGCATCACAAGGGGCTGCTCTCCACATCTGGCTTCTAAACGTTTCTCCTGTTCCCCATGCAGGGCGTTCTTCCTGGCTCTCTTCAAGCACCTGATCTTCCTGGAGAAGAGAGGCTGTCCCCGCACAGCCCTGGAGTTCTGCAAGCTGATTCTGAGGTAGGTGACCCCACTGGGGGCTGCACCCCCTTCCCTGTGGGATGGGGCTGGGTGATTCAGGTTTGGGGTGAAAATGCTTTGAACAACGCATGAAACTTCACTGGGCTGGGGCAGAAACCCCAGAGGTTTCCTGCTGCTCTCAGCCACAGTGAGGGCTCATTTCCACCCCTTACAGCTGCAGTGTCACAGATTGGTTTGGGGCACACGCTCTTACCTGTGCTGCTGCTTTAAAGAGGGTGATGGTTGCAAAGGATGACACCAGGGTGGTCTTTGCTCTTGGCTACTGAGCTGTGGGCCTGGCTGGTCCATCTATGGAGTCTCTGCAGAGCAGATGTGCAACAGTGGCTTCAGCCTGGTTGATTTGTGGCCATTGGGCCTCCTCTGGGGTGGTGGCAGGGGACTGTCACCCTCTGCAGGGACACAGGTCGGACAGGGCACTGCACTGTCACTGGGCTGTGGATAACGATGGTGTTCCCGTTACCTCTGTGTGCTGAGTCACGGGAGCTCGGGATGCTCACGGGAAGGTCTGGTTTGAGAAACGGGGCCAGCCACCTCTGCTCCTGTCACTGCTTTTGTTTCTTCCCCTCCTGCTCACCTCCCTCCAAAGCCTGGATCCAGAGAACGACCCGCTGTGCGTGCTGCTGCTGATCGACTTCCTGGCCCTCCGAGCCAGAGAGTACAGCTTCCTGACCCGCATGTTCCAGGAGTGGGAGGTGAGCTGCCACTGGGAAGCACTGGGGAGAGTAGGGGCAGAGAGAGGGGAGCGAGCTGGGTCCTGGGGCTGTCCCCACCTGGGCTATGCCACAAACCCTGAGGTTGCTGTAGCCCTCTGAGGGATGATCACGGCCAGGCTGGCATCCCAACACCCGTAAAAGCCGGGGCGTTTGTTCTTGTAATCCTGGTACCCTGCAAAACAATTGCACCAACTCCAAATTGCTTACTCAGTTGTGGGGGCACCAGGCCAGCGGCTGGAACGTAACTTAATCCAGCAAGCAAGAAACCCCCGCTCTGTGTGCAGCCCAGCCACATCGAGATCGTTCTGCATAGCATCATTTCCCGGTAAATCTCTCTCTGATCCTGCAGAGTCACCGGAATCTGTCCCAGCTGCCCAATTTTGCCTTCTCCGTGCCGCTGGCCTATTTCTTCCTGAGCCGGCAGGAGGAGTGCTCGGAGCTGGAGCTCAGCCAGGCCCGGGAGAGAGCCACCCAGCTCATCCAGCTCGCCTTGATCATGTTCCCAAGCGGTGAGTCTGTCCCCACCGGTAAGTCCATCCCCGCAGGCTTCCTCACTGCCTTCATCTGCCAGAGCCAGGGCTGGGCTCCAGTGTGGAGGCAGCAGTTTGCCTGCGGGTTGCAAACGGTGTTTGCATCCACCCAGAGGAGAGGGGAGTGCTGATTTGAGGGGTGACACAGCTCAGATAGAGGGGCAGGTACTCAGAGTGCGAGTGTGCTGTGGCAGCGGTGGGATTCAGCCTTCCCACCCCGCACCATGGCAGGAGAACGATGAGACCCCACAGCCATGAACTTTCCACGTGTTGGGAAGAGCTCAGCGACTCCTCTCCCTGCCGTGTCCCCTCCTCGGAGCAGCTGATGCCCCTCCATTAGCAACGGTCACGGGCGAGCAGAGGAGGCTGAGAACCCAAGTCTTGGAGCAGGGAAATGTTTCACCCCAGGGGTGCCCAGAGCAGAGACAGTGAGTCTCTCTCATGGCTTCCCCCCCAGGCACTGCACGGCTTTAGATGTGCTCTCTCCGGGCGCCCATCGCTCTTGCTTTCATCCAACGGGTGCTGCTGTCCATGAAAGGAGATGCACAGCGCCTGCGGGCCCAGGGGAGGTTGGGTATTTATAGGCAGGAATAACCAGCTCTCAAACAGAGCTTTGGTTTGTGTTGGCTGGGACCATCTTTCCTTGCTGCTTGTCACGGTGACTGAAATAAAACCCTTGTTCCAGTTCAAAGGCCGGCAGCGTTAAGTGCAGAAAAGTGCACCTTATTTCACTGAAGGGGAAGTTTTGTTGTGCTTTTTTGTTCGCTCTGCATCTGTTTCCATCATCCATGTGGAGATCAAAATGCAGCGTGACCCCGGCAGTGTCCTCACACCCTCCTTGCGTGGGTCCTTAGCACCCCTGGGGTGCTGACCCCTGTCAAACACGAGCTCTGTCTTTCTCCTGCAGTTCTTATGCCGTTGCTGGATCACTGCAGCGTGCAGCCCGACGCCAGGGTGGCCTCCCACCCCTTTTTTGGGCTGAATGCTCAGATAAGGTAAGCCCTGGGGATGTTCTTGCTAAAGGGAAGCGATCGATTTTTGTTGCCGGGGCTTTTGCTTGCTCAGGCAGCTAATGGAGTCACAGAGCCGCCAAGGAGAATATTTGGGTTTCCTGAGCAGGCTTTTGGGTGCTTTGGTAATGGATCCCCATAATGGGCAGCCGAAAACACTGACAGACCCACCCTGCTCACCGCGAATGGGTCAGGAGTTCACAGCAGGGCCTGTCGGTACGTGTAGCGAGAGCGTGCGTGCTCTCGGGGCAGGCTGTCTCCTACCAGTCTGGATTTCCTTGCCACGTGGTCCTCTTAAATGCCATTGGTTTCCCCCCTGGGGTCAAGGCAGCACTCGCTTTCATCTCGTGGCCGCGCTGGTCCCAAAAATAGACAAGAGGTGGTAAAACCGGTGAAGGTAGATGGGAAACGGGAGCCTGCGACTCCTTTCCTTGTGTTCCCACGGGGCAGAGACAAGGTTGGGATGGTGGAGATTGCCCCGAATAACCAGTGTCTCCCATAGCCAGCCTCCTGCCTTGAACCAGCTGACGGCCCTCTACGTGGGACGGACACACGCCCTGTGGAAGGACGCGGCCGTCATGGCTTGGCTGGAAACCAATGTCCACGAGGTCCTGCACATGGTGGACGCCCGGGACCCGCTGGTGGAGGAGTCTGAGCACAGGTGAGCGTGGCAGGGGGAGGTGAGCGGCTCTCAGAGTGGTTTGGGGGCTGAGACACCAGGATGGAGGGGGCTGGTGGGTTCTGCAGGTGAGAGGAGCTCAGTCTTGGGCTGCAGCAGCTCTCAGAGCCCCACAGTGTCAATGGTGGGGCCGAGGAATGCAAAGGCTGTGCTTCCCTATATTGCATGAGCGTGGATGAACTCCTCTATAGGGAGCATGTGCCTTGGAAATGACTCAGGAGGGTGGAGTGGGTGCTGCTGGTTGGGAGGCAGCGATGGTTGCACAGCTCACAGCCATTCACTGCGCTTAGAAACACCTTCCAGCTCCAAGAGAGGTGCAGGTCTTGTCCCAAACCAGAGCCAGTTTGCTCTGCTGGCCCACAGATCTGTGCCACGTCCCTGGGCTGCTCTGCTCCTTCACAGAATCACAGAATCCCAGATGTTGAGAGTTGGAAGGGACCTGGAAAGCTCCCCCAGTGCAACCCCTGCCAGAGCAGGATCACCAGAGCAGTCACACAGGAACACGGCCAGGGCTTTGGGTGTCTCCAGACAAGGAGACTCCACAACCTCTCTGGGCAGCCTGGGCCATGCTCCATAACCCTCACACTGACAAACTTTGGCCTCATCTTCAGCTTGACCCTCCTGTGCTCCAGCTTGGGACCATTGCCCCTTGTCCTGGCATTGGACATCCCAGAGCAGAGCCTGGCTCCTTCCTCCTGACACCATCTGAGCTCAGCACTCTGGCCTTGTCAGACATGGTGCATCCCCAGAGCCAGGGACAGGAGCTGACGCTGCACCCAGAGAGGCAGAAATGCAGAGCTGGCGGTGCTGAGGTGTGCTCAGTGCCATCCTCTGTCCTTCTCCCTGGCTTTAGGAGGAAGATGCGGTACCAGAGTGCACCCAGGAACATCTACCGGCACGTCATCCTCTCGGAGATGAAGGAGGCCACGGCAGCTCTGCCTCTGGTGAGGGGCTCTGTGATGGCACTCGCGTCCCTGCTGTTCGTCATATCTCAGACCCCAGCCACGGGCCTGCCTGGCCTCAAGTGTCCTCCTCACTTGCACCGGGGCCTGTGTGGGTGTTTGCTCTGCTTGTGACACAGCCCTCACCCCTTCTTTCTTCTCTCCCCCATGCAGGAGGTGACCTCGCAGCCGGTGATGGGCTTCGACCCCTTGCCTCCACTGGACTCCATCGTTTCCTACACCAGACCAGAAAGGTACCTCCTCCACCCATGGTTCCTGCACTGGCACAACTGGTGCCTTCCCAGCGCCCATCTTGCAGCCCTGGGTTGGACACATGTGGATGCTGGGTGCTGATGTCCCCCTTGTGCAGGCAGGACTGGTCCTGCTGCTCTCCCATGGTCATCGGCCATAACACAGCCATTAGGGCAAGGATTTTGCCAAATTTTGGCTGTTTCTTTGAGGGGACCTGGAGTAAACCCAGATTTAAGCACAGCTGACTCAGCTCAGAGCAAACCTGGCCGTGCTTTTAACAACTGCTGGGTTTTAATGAGTCACTGATGGCACAGGGTCAGCGATCACCATGAGTCCCCCAAACCCTGCATTGGGGCTGGCTCGGGGGATGTCCCCGCGCTGGGCAGCACAGTTTTCTCCCCATCGTCTCTGCGCTGTCTCAGCAGCCAAACTGCCCCCTTAACCATGCTGTGACCTCTGTCTTCCAGGACGACTCACCCACCCAACGAAAGCACTTTATCTCTCTTCTTCCGCTCGCTGCTGCCCAATTTTAACCTGCAGGGGGACATGCGACACAACGGGGACGAGGAGGCGGGCGCAGGGCAGGACCTGAACCAGGGGGTGAACAGGCTCATGGCGGCCATGCGGGACATGCTGGCCAACATCCAGTTCCAGGAGCCGCCCCGTGACGACAACCCTGAAGGCGACGGGGACTGGGACTGAGCCCAACGTGCACATTTCCCCCCCAGAACCCTCTCTAATTCCCCTCCTCGGCTTGTGTCACGCTCCAATAAAGTCACACAAACCTGAGGTGCTTCTGATGGGCTCTGGATGAGGAGAGGGGGCTCAGGGCATCGCTCAGTGGGGGTCCAGAGTTAATCTCCAGCAGCTGGCACTCAGCCCCAAGTCAGCTTAGTCCCCTCCTGCAGGCACATTTGTGTCCTCTTCCCCTCCCCATTCTTTTATTTAATACCCAGGGAGT